TGGTTCTACCAAGAGGTATAGAGAGGGATGTTATTTTCCAAACTAGTTCTAACACCATTAAACTTAAAAAAAAAAAAATTGAAAATCAGATATCCAACTCAACCCAAAAGGAATCCAATACAGGCTTCACCTCAGCGTAGAGGTGAAGCAGGTCTTCAAGGTGGACCTCAGTAGAGGTGAGGCGGGCTCTTAGCAGGTGTCCTGTGTTTCTCCATGACATCAAGTTAATTGTAGTTTTATTAGAGAGAACGTAGGGCATTGGCCATTAAGCAAACAGATGTATTTACCTGTTGTGAAACTGAAACTGCCCCATCAGAAGACACTCTATAGGAGGAAAGGGCAAGCCCCTCAAATGGGGCCTACTCAGGACCCATGACTGTCAACAACCTAGCAGGTAATCATATGCAGAGCTGCTAAGAAGGAATTGGAAAACACAGTGCTACTGAAAGTGGGCAGGATAGTTTAGCAGGACCAGCCCAGAGCAGCCCAGAGCAGCCCACAGCACAACACAGCAGCCCAGAACCGCCCAGAGCAGTCCAGAGCAGCCCACAGAGCCCACAGGAGCCCACAAAGCCCACAGCAGCCCAGAGCAGCCCACAGCAGGACACAGTAGCCCAGAGCATCCCACAGCATCCCAGAGCAGCCCAGAGCAGCCCAGAGCAGCCCAGAGCATCTCACAGCAGGACATAATAGGACACAGCAGCCCAGAGCACCCCAGAGCAGGACACAGCAGCCCAGAGCATCCCAGAGAATCCCAGAGCAGCTCACAGCAGGACACAACAGGACACAGCAGCCCAGAGCACCCCAGAGCAGGACACAGCAGCCCAGAGCAGCCCAGAGCAGCTCACAGCAGGACACAGTAGGATACAGCAGCCCAGAGCAGGACACAGTAGGACACAGCAGCCCAGAGCAGCCCACAGCAGCCCAGAGTAATCCAGAGCAGCCCAGAGCAGCCCAGAGCAGCCCAGAACAACTCAGAGCAGGACACAGCAGCCCAGAGCAGCCCAGAGCAGCCCACAGCAGGACACAGTAGCCAAGAGTATCCCAGAGCAGCCCACAGCATCCCAGAGCAGCCCAGAGCAGGACACAGAAGCCCACAGCAATGCACAGCAGCACACAGCAGCCAAGAGCAGAGTAGAGCAGCCCAGAGCAGCCAACAAGCAGCCCAGAGCAGCCCAGAGAATCCCACAGCAGCACACAGAAGGACACAGCAGGACACAGCAGGACACAGCAGCCCAGAGCAGCACACAGTAGCCCAGAGCAGCTCATAGCAGCCCAGAGCAGTACAGAGCAGGACACAGCAGGACACAGCAGCCCAGAGCAGGACAAAGCAGCACACAGCATCACACAGCAGCACAGAATTGCCCAGAGCAGCCCAGAGCATCCCACAGCAGGACACAGCAGGACACAGCAGCTCAGAGCAGCACACAGTAGCCCAGAATAGCCCACAGCAGCCCAGAGAAGTCCATATCAAGACACAGCAGGACACAGCAGCCCAGAACAGCCCAGAGCAGCCCGAAGCAGCCCACAGCAGCCCCGAGCAGAACACAGCAGCCCAGAGCAGGACACAGCATCCTACAGCAGCCCAGAGCAAGACACCACAGCCCAGAGCAGGACACAGCAGTTCACAGCAGGACACAGCAGCCCAGAGCAAGACACAGCAGCCCAGAGCAGGACACAGCAACCCACAGCAGGACACAGCAGCCCACAGCAGCCCAGAGCAGGACACAGCAGAACACAGGAGCCACGAGTAGCCCCAAGTAGGACACAACAGCCCACAGCAGGACACAGCAGCCCAGGGGAGCCCAGAGCAGGACATAGCAGCCCATAGCAGCCCAGAGCAGTCCACAGCAATGCAGAAGACATTGGCAGCGTCTACCTCATGGGGCTAAGGA